ACACAGGTACCTATTTTCCTAACAATAGGGCAGACTTTTTTTCTCCGAGCTGTGTATCTGTGAATACCCAGAACCCACTTACTTCACTGCTTCATGAAGTGGTCTTTCAGAGATGTGCTTATAATACATGGAGCCCTTGCTCGATGAAGCCATAACTGGGCATGATGAAATCTGCTTAAATGTTTCTGCCTTCCTTTTAATTTTTTTAAATGATTCTATCAAGTGATCACTGTGAAAATGTCTAATTGTCATTGATTGCAGTCCCTTAAGCATCACATCTCTTTCTGCTACAGTAGCTTGTTGGTCAAAATAAAGTAATTGGGAGATTTCTCATGTATTAATTTTGGTTAGATATTATAAACTCATGCTGCTTTTCTATACAGGAGTAGTAAGGTCTTGGGCAAGATACTTAAGATCTTTGTTCATATGTGAACTAATCTGTAAAATAGGGATAAAAATACTTTCTTTGAAGAAATTAAGTCAGATTATGTTGATGACAGCCCTTGGCCCGTTCTCGGCCCATGGCAGGCAGTCCTGCATTGACGGCTTCCCTCGCCTCCCATTTGTTTCCCATAGGCCAGTTGCTAGCTTTTTTGTGGAAGGGACACACATTTTATTTCTTCTTCCACTAGTCTGAAAGCATCTTGAGAATATGATCTGTATTTTAAATCCTTTTTTAGCCTTTTGCTGTGTGCTCAGTAACAGTAAATTTAATAAAGTAATGAAGGACCAGATAATCTCTAAGGTCTTCTTGATTTTTTAAGTTCTCTGTTTGATTCTTCTAGCTTAGAAGAAATTTAGACAATTCCCTTACAATGAGTGTCTTCTCTGTTAAGGTATTTCCCCCTTTGCAGTCTTATAAAATATGTCTTATATTTATTATTGCTAATAAGTATGCATCTGGTCTCAGGAGCTGGTGTCAATAGTTTAAGTAACCTCTTTAGTTTATTACCTTGGGCCTGATTCTTTTATTGCAAATAAGGTAGGTCAGAGGCTGGTCTTGACTCTGCATCCCCTGCATTGCTCTCCTGGGAAGATCCCTGTGAAAGATGAGCAAGAAATGCATAACTGTTTTCTGACATACGATCTGGGAGTCATTAATAGAGGCTGAGTTTCATGATATATTCATATCAGTCCTCACAGAAGATGCATTTTGTGTTTTAGATTAACTATGATCTGGCTAGTAGGCTCAGGCCAACTCAGCAGATTAGAGGAGAAGCAATAGGTCTTTCCAAATCAGGGACTGAACCTGGTTACCTGTCTAGGCAAGCAGTGTGTTCTTGGTATGAATGAGTTGCTTGGAGACAGTACCATTTGAGGCCATGTTTCCCCCTGTGTCATTGCCCCTCTGAGATGGGCGGCACACTGGTAGAAAGTGCATAGGTTGTCAGATTTAGACCCTGTGTTGAATCCTGGTTAGGGTATGTTACTACATCCAGAATCTGTTTCTTATATTTAAAGCCTTGATAATATCAGTCTAGTAGGTTTTTGTGCATGATAAGTTACAGAGTATATGTTAAATGCCTCATGCAATGCCTGGCGATGAGATTAGATCCAGTGTTGATGACACACTTCAGAAAAGAAGCATAGGAGACTGAAGAGGTCTGCCACCCATCCACAATAGTATCAGCTCTGGTGTGTATCTGAAGAGTGTCCCAGAGTTGCCTGCTGCCTCTTATGACTAATATGCAGACTGCAGGGGTGGTGCTGAGGTTCACATAAATATGGAAAACTTGGTAACAATCTGTAGAAAGAAAAACCTCAATTATATGTTTCATTCCATGATCATTTGAAATACTGGTCCATTTGTAAGTAGCTTCAACCTTTCCTCCCCTGCTCATTATCTGGGAATTGTCATCCACTTAAAGCTTTTGTCCAAGGGGTTATTTAAAAAAAAAACAAAAAACGTCTTGCTAGTTTCTCCAGCTGACAATTTATTTCAATCCCTAATATCCAACATGACTTCCATTTTCCTTTAATTCTTGAAAAAGTTAAAATGACAATAATAAAAATCATAAGTCCATTTTATGTGAATAGCCATTTTTAGACAATAGAAGGTTCTGAACTGTGCTTGTATTTAAGAGAGACTATGCCAAGCTTTGCTAATTAGCTTGTGGTCTGTTACCTCTTGGTGGCTCCATCTCCATTTCAGAGACTCAGGGTGTCACCAGTAAGGTTCTCAAGCAATAGGTGAATTGGATTCATTATGGGTCAGTTGATTTGGGGTTATAGATCTTTGTGTCATGTTTAGCTTATTCTAGATTTTGAAAAATGTCATAGGTATTGAGGATTGATGATGGTGGTGAAATCCAGAGGTAAAATAAAGGAAATATTTGTTACCTTTACATACAGCTATTTTGAACTGGAGAGCAGTGGTCTGAGGGATGAAATCCGATATCACTACATACATAATGGAAAGCCCAGGACGGAGGCTCTCCCGTACCGGATGGCAGACGGGCAGTGGCACAAGGTCGCGCTGTCAGTTAGTGCCTCTCATCTCCTGCTCCATGTTGACTGCAACAGGTATGTCTTTTATCCTTTGTGATTCTGCCCTTGAAATCAGGCAATGGGAAGGGGAAAAATATCAAACCCCTCCAAGCCTTGCTGGGAAACAAAAATCAAGGGACCCTAACTGTAATTTAAACCTATCGAATGGGCCATTAGATATGCTGAAATGACCAACTGTAATACGCTAAGAAAACAGTTCATTAAGGTGAAACAGTATCCTGTGATTAGGAACAAATGTACAAAAGGTTGATTACAGATTGGGGAATATTAAGTGCACCTTGGTGTACTCCAGGCTCCAGATGAAATTCAATGGAGCTGTGATCACAGTTAACTGTGATATATTGTTGTTGAGTTCATTCCACTTGGAAGTGAATGAGCCAGTCTACCTTAGAATGAATCTGAGGAGCCTGTGTCACTGAAGCAACTAATTCTATTTCACTTCATCAGGCACAGCTTTGCTTAAGTATCTTTCCAAATGGAGGCCTCTTAGAGTGGCTGTTCTTTGAATCTTTTGGAGTTGATGCCACCCAATTTCTGCAAAGGAATGAGCCTTCCAACTTGTCACAGGAAATCAAGACTATTTGTGAGATATAGGGAGTTTCACAGGAGGTTGAGGGCAGGGGTAGGAAGGAGATGCTGTTGCCCATGTCTGCCTTTACTGCCAGCTGAAGAAAAAGACTGTTGGTCTCCACTGAGTCATTTGTAGCTGGATAGCTGGATAATGGTGGTTAAGGAGAATGTTGTGATCTCTCTAGAATCTGCTGAAAATCCTTATGGACAGTGATGTGAGTCCTATATAGAGAAATTTTTGTATTGCAAGCAGTCCCCATGAATTGTTGATTCTCATTAATGATACTACCAAAGTTAAGATGACCAATCCACCTCAGGACTTGCTTGCTTGAGCCCAAGACAAAGAGCAGACATGTTGGGAGCAGCTTCCCTTCTGGAACCCACCAGAAGGAGGAATAACCCAAGGTCAGTCAGCTCCAGGCTACATTTCTGATGGGTGGATACTTGAATGTGTTTGCCACTCTGGCTCAGCAGTCTCTTTTAGGAGAGATCTGGAAGGGCAGAAGAATAGAAACTATGGTCAGGCTTTAGAGAAGTTCTGCTATCTTGACATGAGTCTTGGTTCATTTTGATGTCATCTATTTAAGATGCTTTCTGGACTTCAGAAGAATTGTGGATTCAACCAGATATATATGCATGGACAACATTTCCAGAGAAGCCACTGGCTCGTTTTTACCCTGTAGTCCTGGGCAGCCTGGATAAAGCCAGCCCTCAGCTGCTGTTGCTCTTTCCACCTTTAAGAGCTTGTTGGCTCCTTCAGTCTCTAGCACAAAGTGGCCCGTCAGGTAGCGCTCCTGTTCTCCCTGCCCCCACCACGCAGATGCTGCCCAAATGGGAGAGAGGGAAAGGACCCTGCATGTCCTCCTATGCCACAGGCCAAAAAGAGGCCTCAGAGCCCTAGTTCACTAATTCCCAACTTTGAAGTCCCAGAGACACTGCTATACAATTTTTTACTTACTTCTTTTAAAAGTTTTGTCTTCTGTTTTCCAGTACTTTTCTCTCTAGAGAAGTTGAAATAGAGGAGAGGCTATGTCTCTGTTAATCTAAGGTTTCATGCCCTCAAATTCTCTAGCCCCTATAAATTATTTTCTTCTTCTAGTACTTAGTCATTTGTTAGCTGTGTGAATTTGGGCAAGTTAATTTCTTTTCATTTCAGTTTGTGAATTTGTAAGCTGGGAATAATACTAATATATATTCATAGTTGGGAATGTTGAATGCGATGGTCCACATAAAGGAGTTAGGGTGGTGCTTGGCCTTTGGCACTCAATACATATTTGTTGTTCTGCACATCTGTGGTACCTCTTTGTCTCCACATTTTCATTCACTGTATGTTCTTCACTACTGTAATCTCTCTACCAGGAGAGTGGGGAGAGGATTGGAGGGCTGAACATCACAATATTTTTTAGGGTTAGTTCCATTGGTTAAAGAATGAACTGAATGGATTCTAAATAGTCCTTCCCTTCTCTTGAAGTTTCTCATACTTCTGTTCATGGTATACATGTCCCTTAGGATCCTGGAGGAAAAACAAAATTGTTAATGATTCATGGATCCAGACACAAATGAGTTTTGTAAGATAGGTCAGGGGAAACAAAGGCCTGGAATGACTGTGCCAAAAGAGAGGTAAATTTTGACTTTGGTGAAATAAGAAATGTCTAAAACATAGTTCCCAAACCTGATTACACATAAGAACTACTGGGGAACTTACTCTTTAAGCTATGCATTTTGTAACACTATGAAGTTCTTTTTGATTCCTTTTAACCTTAGAGTTATATTATCTTATTTTTCTCACCCTGTCATCCACTAGAGTTCAGCTGGTTGGATGACAAATGCAGATTTGATAACATTGATTAAGTAGTGATTATGCTAGGCACAGTGCTAAGTACTTTACAAAGATTAATTCATCCCGCACTCATGCTGTTGTTTTCTCATTTAAAAGTAACAGAACTGAGGTTATATTATATCTGCATTCCTGCTAAAAAGTGACAGTGCTAGGATTGGGACCCAAGTCTGACTCATGAGAGTCCACTCTGCCTACTAGGCTGCTCAGGGACAGTGGTCTTGGAACATGAGGGACATTGGCAGTGGTCTTGGAACATGAGGGAAGGCAAGAACCTGATTCTGTGTGAGCAATTTGCTCTTTCTAGTATTTTCCTCCCACATGTCTTACATTGCTGATCTTTGAAGTTGTTTAATAAGATGTAGAATCTTATTAACTGAACTCATTGCATTGGCAGGGGGAAAGGGACCTACATTTATTAGCATCTACTACAAGCCATGTAAAGTGCTAGACATATTACTTAGCATAGCCATATGGGGACACTTTCATTTGATCTCTTTTACATATTTGGAATTAGAAAGGCTCAGAGAAGAAAAGTAACTCCATCTCAGTCACATAATGTGTGACTTCCTACCCCTCCATGCCACCTCTGTAAAGTGCTCATGACATGTACTTCCCAGGACAAAGTCAACTGCACCAGGCACTCCTCCCTGGGGTGAGATGCTATAGGAAATTCCATATAGTCATTTGAAACCAAGAAGAGAAGATTTCACAGGCAGTTCCATTGCTCTGAGGATCTGTGGTGTGGTGGGATTTTCCACCTTTTTGAGGTTAGAATTGAGAAATGGCCTCTTCAGACTTAATCACACAATCGCCACAAGAAAAGTGACTGCTCTTTCCGTCTGTAGTTGAACACTTCCTGCTTGCTGCAGAGACTTACACTTCCTGCTTCTGCTTTTCTAGCTGGGGCTAGGGAGAAGCTCCCAAAATGTGGGGAGCAGATTATGTTAAACTAGAAACAAAACAAATTGGGTGGCCAGCATGATTATCTCCGTTACCTTGGGTTTTTCTCAAGCTGCCTTGATATTAATAATTGCCAACAAAGCCTAGTATGAAGCCTGAACTAAACTTCCTGAGATTCTTCCATTCCATTCTCAGCTCACCCTGCAGCCTGTCTCTATTACCCAAAGCCCAGAATCCACTGACATCTTGGATTCTGTGCGTAACTGCTCCTTCTCATTCACCACAAAAGGGATTTTCTTTTTATTTGGTAACTTTTAATTTCAGTCAGCTCATCAAATTAATGTATTAAACACTCTCTGCCGGACTATGTAGGTTACAAAGAAATAAGAGTCTTTTTGCCATCAGGAAGTTCATGGCTTATTCTGTCATTTTAAATTCTAAAGCCACTAGGGGACCTGACAGTGAGTGGCCCTAGAACCTGGGTATGAGAGCAAGCATGGACGCAGATTGCAGACCTGCAAGCAGGCTGATTTGACAACTCATATGGAGCAGTGGAGAGAACTGAAAATAGTCACTGCCAGCATTTTGGTTTTGAAGTGACAGTGTAGTTGAGCTTCTCAACAGCTAAGGGACTGACTCAGAATTGTTAACCATTCAAATGACATATTCATCCAGCCTTTGGTCAGCACATTTTGCAGTATGCAGGTGTCCCCACTCTAAGCTAACGTCCTCTTGTCTCACTGCTAGAAAAATTTATCTCTTACATAGTCACAGTGCCACAGAACTCTGAATTCTCATTTGTTCAAGCTTGTACAAGTGTGCATGCCACACACACTTCTGCAGCCTGACAGATGGGGAGTTACCTCAGTGATTATAGTCTAGAAAATAAACATATTTAGACTTTTAACACATACTGTTTATTCATTGCAGAGCATATTAAATTTTTGATATAACTGATCTTGAAGAACATGCAGAATCAGAAAAAAAATGAACTTACTATAAATCACTGAACACACTGGTAATTCAAGATTTCTGTCTAATATTTCAAAGTAACTTTGAGATATGAGCATCTGTTTATACCTCCAGAGTTTTCATAATGAAATGTGATATGGTGTCTCCCGTTCAAAGAGCTCTTAATGTATTTACAAACATCTTACTAAACTTCACATTCCTTAAGGTAGTTAAGACACATGTTTGTGATGTTCTACATTAATTTTATGCAAATATTTATGGTACAGTAAGGAGCAGAGAATTTAAGAGATGACTCTCAAAGGCCACAGCTTCTAAGAGAGTCAAGCCAAGATTCACAATCTTGTTTCCTCAATTGATTATTCACTTCACAAATAGGCGCACATGTGCACAACTCATCAAAGTTAATTCAAATAAAATTGAGAAGCCAGTATATGTCTCATGTACAACTAACCCAGCAGCTCTAGATCCTCTGTCCAGGAAGAGATGACAAGCAGTGAACATAGGACATAGCCATGTGTAAATTTAAGTAATTTAAGTAACAGCACAAGGCAACAGTGTAAGATGTTGTAAGGCAGTACATGCTGGATTGCTAGATTTTTGGTAGAGACAGTCAGGTCTGGTAGATCACAGGTGGAAGGGCCTCTCTATTGTGGAATAGTCTCTCAATTTCTTACCATCCCAGCTGAAAATGTATAACAATTTCTGCAGCTTTACAGTTTTGCCAGTGTGATTT